TCTCCTGGCATCGCTACTAGGAGCAAGGACGCTACTAGGGGCTCCTGGTCTTACTACTAGGAGCAAGGGCATCGCTACTAGGAGCAAAAAGAACGACCGGCTGATTCGTGACGACATGGAACCGGTTTGGAGGGCCTCCAACCTAGAAGCGATGGCCTCCAACCGGTTTGGGGCGAAGTCATATTCAAGTGAGACCCTGTGTTCTCCTCAGCTGCTCGAAGGATGGAAGTTGCAGCTCCCATTGACCTGACAGAGCACGGAAATGAAAGGCTGTTGCAGGCTGTTACGACCTGAGATGAATAGATTTTGTCTTGCTTGAAAAAACGGATCTGAAGCTCTGAAAGGTTCACAAAATATCAGGCCTGCCCCACAAGCCCACGTGGCTTACACCCAAGGACCTCAGGTGCTGAATGAGAACCTGAAGCGAAGCGAAGAGGCAAGGCGACGCTGAAATTTTCCAGAGGCGCCTCAAAAACCGAAAAGTTCATTCCGTCTTGGCCAACACTCTTAGCTGGAGGCCATTGCTACTAGGTTGGAGCATGCTCAAGGCGGAAAAAACTACTATTCCCATGCGAGAACAGAATCTGGAACAAGCGCTCTCGCTACTATAGCAAGGAGGAATTACGTCTAAGGCAAAACTATTATTCAACATGTCTATGTTTCTAGCCCTTCTCAGTTGGCCTTTTCCTATGGCTTGGATACCTAGAATACCTTCCCCTCAAGTCTCGCAAATCTCAAAAACAAATAAGAAGGAACCTACTAGCGATGGCCTCCAACCCAATAGCAATGGCCTCCAAAACCGTTGCCTTTTGGGGCTCGAATTGAGAGACCCTTCTCTTCCGACCGCCTGGAGATCCTTCTCTTCAAAGTGGCCCAAGGAGATGAATTCGCCCTCACTGTGGCCCGACCTTGCCAAAGACAAAAGGAAGAAAGAAAGAAGCTACGAACGGAACAAAGGGCATCGCTACTAGGAGCAAAGACGCTACTAGGGGCTCCTGGCCGTACTACTAGTAACAAGAACCTACTAGATACGATTTATGATTGTATTAGAAAGAAAGAAGGAAGAAAGGTCTAATGTAGTTTGCTCTTAGGTTGGAGGCCATCCCTGGTGGGTTGGAGGCCATCGCTATTAGAAACACGACCATCACCAGGGAAACACCAACAAATGTGAAATGGAAGTAGCAAGTTGATGGGTGCGTTATCGGTGGAAGACTGCTCTTCCAACGCAAGAATGCTTCTTTCATAAATAACCTTTTGGCTAAATAACAACATTGAACGACAGTTAACCCCAGGACCAAAGGTTTCAGCGGCTTCTGGTATTCTTTCAGGTTGTTCAGCAGCACTCTATTTTTGCTCTGCCATCTAATCACGTTCTGCATTTTTCCACCCTGTCTGGGGTCGTAACCCAGAGAGATCCAGGCAGCAAAGCATGAGGTTTTTGGGCAGTATCACCTCACTTTGCTCTTGCACCAAGTCCCTGAAGTTAAGTTTGTCCTAAAAATCTAGTGGCTTCCTTGCTCCTAGTAGTAAGGCCAGGAGCCCCTAGTAGCGTCCTTGCTCCTAGGAACCAAATGAACAGTGCGAGCGCTTCTTCAAGGAAGCCTCCCCCTGCCGCCCTAGAGGCCTTTAGGGCGGGGGGAGCTTCCTTGAAGAAGCGTGAGCTATCCTGCGTCCTGTCGGTAGTAGCTTACTTCTGGGTAGTAGCTACCTCTAGCTACCTCTAGCTACCTAGCTACCTCTACACGGCCTACCCTCAAACTCCAGACTCCGAACATCTCCACTCAAAACGATTCCAGGCACAGGTAGGACATCGATGGCTTCAACTCGGGAAGAGCAATTGCCATGAAGGAAAATCACGCACCTCAAAAGCAAATACAAGTCCAAAAGGTGAACAATATTGATCCAAACAGCCAAAAATATAAGGTGATGCCTGCATCACACATTGCAACCAACAATTGAAACTACACCAAGAACCGCCAAAACAGCAAAGCCACTGACTACAGTATTCTGCTCGCTCTCTCTCTCTCTCTCTCTTTCTCTTTCTCTGGGACTCTGGGACCACAGCCGATTTTGATGTCGTTTTGGAAAGGAACCTGCGGTTTTTGGCGTCCGAGAACTTCTGCCCAAAAAAGAAATGCGGCAAGAGCCAACAAACTGTTCAATGAAACCTGCATCAAACAAGGTTTGAGAATCATGCGGAAAAGGCTGCAGGACAACCGCATTTCCCGATCATTCTTCAGGTAAAAGTCCTGGCCACTTTGACACTTTGAAAAATAACGAATTGCATGTCTACTAGGAGCAAGGACGCTACTAGCGGCTAGCCAGACCTTAAAGTAGACAACCCACTCTATCGCCGCGCCAGTGCAATGACGAACATGACAAACAACAAACAATGACACCGATGACACCAGACACAATGGGACACAAGCACAAGACGCCCTGCCAGCGGCCCGACTCAGGGATTTGACCAGTCCTAACGGTCCTAACCCAGTGTCTCGCCAGCGTGCCAGTGGCCCCACCCAGCCCGATGTGGCAAACAAGCGGTGACGCACAGAGGGACAACACCATAGAATCCCTGAAGGGCGTTAGGGAGTCGCCCAGCCGGACCGTATAGACAGATATTGGGAACCGGACAGACCTGGTCGGGTGCGGGATGGCTCAGATCAAAGTGGTTAAAGAGAATATTCTTTTAGGAAAAGGAATGATTTTACTGAAACTTGTTAAGAGTCCTCTTGCCATTGCTATTAGGTTGGAGGCCATCGCTATTAGGTTAGTGAAAGAGAACTTCATTGAACTTCTTTGTCTTTCGTTCCTCTCTGCTGTAGACTTGTGATGCGAGGCGGAACTTCTGCGGGCCAAGGTCTGAGAGCTCGTACTGTGACCTCACGACACAACGACATGTAACAATCGAAGAAACTGAAACCAAGAGCAGCAAAAGAAAGAAACTGAAACCATGTGTTTTGTTTGTTATCTTTCTAATTATCTATCCATTTCTTCGCACTAGTCTTCCCTGTGTCTTTCTCCGAACGTCTTTGTCTTTCCTCTTTTTAGCGACTCTGTACCTTGTCTTTGTCACGTGCTCGGCCTCGGTGGTCGAATGATACTCTTCCAAAGGATGTCGTACGAGTCCGACAGCAAAGAACCCCAGGAGACTTTCTCCATACCTCATCGAGAAAGCGAAAGCGAAAGCGAAAGCGAGCCAAGAGCCAAGGAAGGAGCGAAAGCAAGTCAAACCTGTCAAACCAGCCTTGACATTGTCATCGGCCAAATCACGCCATGAGAACTAAGTAGTAACAAGAAGCTACTAGGAGCAAAGGGCATCGCTACTGGTAACAAGTGCCTTACTAGTAGTAACAAGTGCCTTACTAGTAGTAACAAGAATTAAATTAGAATTAAATTGTTTCTAATCCTAGTAGCAATGGCCTCCAACCTAATCGAAGAACTATTTCCTTCATAAGCTTGATTGTGTTGTTCTGATCAAAACCCCAGCGTTACCTCGCAGTCTCTTTCACTCTGTGTTGAGCGGGCTTGAGCAGGCAAGTTGCAAGTTGCTCTCAACATAATCTCAATACTCTCGTGCAATGTTTGTCATCACAGTCGAACATTTTTGCCAAGTTCGTTCGCAAAGCATTTGGCCAAGTTCAGGTTTGGCAAATCGACATTAAAAAGGTGAACCCAATTCTCCACTTTGTGGCTTCGCTTCATTCAAAACGCCCAGCAAAGATTGCAATCAAGGGCAACGCCAGAACAAGAACACCCAAAAACGATGCATCAAAATCGACCTTGGGTGTACTTGAGTCATCTGCAGCACTTGCCACATCCATGTCATCTTGTTCAACCCGCTTGGCTGCCTGGCAAGCTAGGAGCAGGCAGTGGCAACGACGTGTCGTGACCTTCGGCACCTTCGAGTCGACGTCTTCGGCATGGAGGAACAAGAAGCTACGAACGGAGCAAAGGGCATCGCCACTAGGAACAAGGACGCTACTAGGGGCTCTTGGCCGTACTACTAGGAACAAGGACGCTACTAGGAACAAGTGCATCGCTTCTAGTAACAAGTGCCTTACTAGTAGTAACAAGAAGCTACTAGGCTAGGGGCTCCTGGCCGTACTACTAGGAGCGATCGGACGCGACGAACGGAACAAACCAGGCGAACCGGAGTTTGGCACCTTGGAGTCGTCTTCGGCATGGAGCCGAACCCGTGGAGCTCGCGGAGACGCAAAAGGCCTCACTCCGACCGAGTCTCGCGACGGCCCAGTCAGGTCGTCCGCTACTCGGTCGGGTTTTTTGTTGTCCGTTCAAGCCCAAAAAAGTGGCGGCATTGCAGAATGCGTTGCTCCAAAAACATGTGTTCTTTTGATGTGTAATGAGTGTTCGTGAGTGTTTGCTTGCAGTGGAACTTGAGCAATTCGTTGCAAATCCCGCCTGGACAAGGAACCCATGACACCCCACAGCAGGACCGCCATCACTGCCATCGTAAGGCATCGCAAGCTTCGCAGCTTCATGGCACCCGTGAGTCACAACGAGCTATCAGCAGTGCAACAGGACGCTACGAACGGGGTTCCTGGCCTTACCTACTAGGAGCAAGGTTCGCTACGTTCGTAACAAAGGGCATTTCTACGAACGGAGCGTTCGGACGCTACATGCCGAATTCGAACAGCCCCCCTTTACACCCTTCTGAAGATATTCGACCATGCGATTCTGAAACCTTTTCGTCGAACTTGGTGGTCTCGAGCCGTGGTGTCATCTGCATCGGTCTCACCCGAAACCCCTTGCTAAACACAAGCAAAACACCAGTAGCGTGTTTATTCGATTCTGAAAAACCGCTGAGGCAACTTGTCCCTTGGGGAAAATGCGCCGAAATGCCCCGGTATGCCGGCTTCACGCATGTGTGTGTACTGCCCGAATGACATGCCCTTTGACATTTGTGGGTTTTGACACTCCCATTCATTTCAGGCAAAGCTTGCACAGAGGGCCTATTGAGGTTTGCAGTTCCCAAGTGTGCACATGCCGAGAAATGCACGAATCGACCAGCTGGCATCTTGCGGCCGCTGCCGATCCTGCAACTTGTGTGTGTTTGCATTGGTCACCTGTCTTGCGCCAGAGCAGGTCCAAATTAATCACTCACCTGTCTTTGCACGACTTTCAAAGGGTATTCAAAATCTTCAATGTACAGGTTCTGCTTGGCCCAATCATTTCGAAGCTCCAACAATTCCTGTTCATACTATCACGAAGGCAGTGGCAGGGGTTGACATATCTAAGCAGCCTCGGGTGAAGGGGTGAAGAGGTGAAGGTGAAGATCACTCCAAAGCACACCGAATGGTCTGAGGCAGCCCCAACAAGCGTGTCTTTAGGGTTCACTTCAAATCCTCATCTTGCGCAAGAAGACCGAAAAGCTCATCGAAAGCTGTCCAGGAGGGTCAAATAAGGCTAATCCACGATTGCAAATGACTGGATAGGACCGAAAAACTCAAGGAAAGTTCATCAAGCTGCCAGATCCAACTCTCATTATCCAAATCACCAGTATTGAACACAGCAGTGATTCGACCACAGCTACCATAGTTTCGGCTTGTGTCAAGAGAAGAGAATGTGGAATCGCAGAGCTGAGCGGTCCTGCACTGCAAATGAGCACCAAGTTTGTTGTCTGAGGTGATCATTGAGAAGTCAATGACTTGCAACCAAGAGATGTTCTCGCTCTTACTTCTCTTGGGCCAGAAAAATTTTACCCAAGATCTGCAAGGTCAATGCCTCAGAGAGGATTTTTTCCTGGGCGCACGTGCGAAGGTCGGAGCCCAACGTCGCAAAAAGAAAAGAAGAAGGCGACAAGCGACAAGGGTGAAAGGGGAGGCAAAAGAAGCAAGCTCTCAGGTCAATGTGAAAACACGGTCGCGCAAGCTTCCTTTTTCGATCCCGCTTCTTGAGCCAAAGTCACAGTCGGCTTAGACTGTCTCAAAGGTTCTCAAAGTTTCTCCAAAGCTTGTCAGCTCTTCTTAAAAGAGTCAAGACTATTTATTCACCGTCATTTCAAGCCTACACCAAACTAAAGAGAACTATCGTCAACAGTCTCCATGTACACGCAGTACTTACCAAAAGGTAATCCAGGTTTCTCCTAGCCACGTCTAGCCACACCAAACCTTCTAAAAGGTTATCCTGCCAAGTAGGTCAAAGTAAATCACCAACAAAAGACCACAAACCAGTCAGCTCCAACCCCAAGTCATCAAAAACGAAAATCTACCTAAGAAACAGGCACTGGGTGATCCACACCCTGTACAAACAGGCGGCTACGCACTAGCTTTCACACCCCTTCTTGGGTCACATGGTGCCGCCTTCTTCTGTCCCTCTTCTTCTTCTCTTCTTCTCTCTTTCGTTCTCTCAACTAAGGATCAGACAACAACTAAAATCCACACACCGGTCCTCAAAGGTGATCTCAAAGTCGTCAATCTCGAAGTAAACTTGAGTCCAGCTCAAGCAAATCTCCAGATCCAAGAAAGAATCAAGCTGTCGACCCACAACAAGAACGCAACCGTCGACATGCTTGAAGATGTGTCCCCAGCTTACCACCGATGGCTAGAAGCTGCTCCACACGCGACGTATCATAGGCTGAACAGTTTGTTTTCGATCAAAATGTGCGACAAGGTGTGGCGCCTGCTCCCAGACAATTGGTGCGCACGGCAGAGCGTGTGATCCAGTGGACTTGCCGGAACCCATTCGTCAAAGGTTGGTGCGCCGCCTTCAAAGTTCTGGAGGTAGCGCATGGGTGCGGCCATGCGGTCTCGTGAAGGAAGGACCCTACATCAGAAACTCTGAGTGACTGCACGCGATTCAATCTAGTGGTCAGAAAATTGATTTGTCAGCATTCAACACAAGCGAATTCCAAAAAGGGTTATCCGCGAGCCATCCAAATTCCAGCCACTGGATCTGTTCCGAACAATGCTTTTCACTCTGTCCACGTCTGAGACATGTACGCCAGAGCATTGCCCAGAGCATTGCTAGTATGCACGCACGCAATCCCAACTTTTCGCTCATTCCACAAACACAAAGGTAAGTGCCAGAGTGTGTCTATCTTTACAAGTGTGCAACCGTCTTTAAACACTGATTCCTGAGCTTGAGCCCTTCCTGACAGGCGCTTCGACGATTCAAACGGTGGCTTCGAACCCTCGTTCAAAACGCACAATTCCAGTCAAAACTCTTCAGTGAGCTGGTCTTGCTATGGAAAGTTGATCCAAAAGAAACAGGGGCCCACAAACCAAAAGGTTTGTGTTCCCCCCCATCAGACGTGATCCTTCTCAGCAGAAAAGGTCGCGTGGACCCTCTGGGATGGTACTTATTTGGATCACATGTCCAACCAAAACCCAAAAAGTGATCAACTAACCAAGTAGACCAACCCATCCTGTACTTAACTCCGGCATCATCCATCGATGATGTGTGCGGCACTGCATTCCGAATCGTCCGAAAGGACGATTGAGCAAAAAAATCCATTCCGAACATCATCCTTCGATGATGTGAGATGCAAAACGTACATTCCATCAACCATAGCATCATCCCGTGATGATGCGAAGAGCAAAAACATGCACTCCATCAATCATCCATCGACGATTCATTCCAAAACCCCTTCAAATGACTTCAAACGCAAATGCCATCCTTCAATGGCATGGGGCAGATGTTTCAACACATATATACCATCTCTCTGGTATCTCAATCATTTCCAACGAGGCCACGGAGGCCTGAGTTCCATCAACAAGGTCACGGAAACCCGAAATCAGATTCCAACACATCTTCCCCTTCAAAGAAGTGCATCCTGCACTGCAGTACAGAGCTTACAGGGCCTTTTTCGACTGTGGACAACTCACTACTGTCACTCGCTCACAAAGATGAGTGAGCTGACCACTTGGCGAGAGCCGCACTGAAAGCAACACATGTGCATGCTTCAACTTGTACGTGTCTCACGTCGATCATGTGTGTAAAGGCATGGGGAAGCACCTGCCCTGAGCGAGTGGGCGGTGCTTGGATTGCTTTAGCATTCCTCTTCAGCTGCCCTTTATGTTCTGCCCGACAGCAGCATTGGCGGACGACTAGGTGAAAGTGGTTGCAGTCCCTGAGAGTGTCCAGATAGGGTTCCGCAGGAGTTGACCTGTGTCTCGTTGGACGAAAGTAAGCTCGCACACAAAGGTGCAAAGGTGCTGCTTCCTCCTGTGGTCGGGAGCTGCTCAAGAACAGCATTTTCGAACTCGATCAAACTCTTGGAGACCAGAGGGGCAGCCACTTGGGTAGCCGTCCTTGCTCACTCTGGCCATGCACCACTCCAGTAGTTGTTACATGTGAGCAGGAAT